CGCCAGGCCTCCTCTCCCCCAGGTCTGTTGTAGTACCCAAGAACATTAAATTCTGTGGGGCCAGAGCTGTGGTGCAGGAGGTTAAGCTGCTGCTTGGGACACCAACATCCCATTGTCAGAGTGCCAGTTCAAGTCCCTGCTGCTCTGCTTCTCAGCCAGCTTCCCGCTGACACACCGGTAAGGCAGTGGAAGATGAGCCAAGAACCTGTGCCCTTGCCACTCACGTGGCTCCTGGCTTTGACCTAGCCCAGCCTTCACTGTTGCAGCCATCTGGGGAGTGAACCACTGTGTGTGTGTGTGTGTGTGTGTGTGTGTGTATGAGAGAGAGAGAGAGAGAGAGAGAGATTTCACCCTCTCTTCCTCCCCCTCCCCCTTAAATACATTAGGTAAGTAAGTAACCTATAAGAAATGACAAAAAAAAAAGACAGAATAAATAAAAAATAAGATGAAACAAATAAGGTTCACTGACAGAAAGGGATGGAAAGACCAAGGCATTATTATCCCATCTCTGGACAAACATGTATGTCTCCTCCTACCAGTTACCTCCTGAGGACACCTAGTGTGGTCCTATTCTGCATCTCCAAGTGCTAAACCCAAGAAAAGCAAGTAAAACTCATGGCTCATTGGCAGGTAAACTGGCAAAGCTGCTGGCGTACCTGGGTGCACCTGTCCCACATCTCTTCAATAGGGTAAGTATCTATCACTGACCTCAGACATCATGAGTTTGTACAGTATGGGGTCAAATACCATCCTCTCTTCCTCATAACCACACCATCAATGCAGAAGATCTATGTGAAAGAGACACAGGACATATGAACTTTGTTCACCTAAAATGCAGGAGGTGTGGTCCTTCCAGCCTAATTTGCATGTTACTGAAAGGGGTTAACTTACCCCATGGCATTCCTCTTGCTTCTGGACTTAGGCTTTAAATTAATTCGATAAATCATGAGATTCAAGCATTTCAATTGGGTTGCTGAGCCTTTCTATTGTAGCCTCCGGAGGCATCTTGCTGGGTAGTGCTCTTGGAGGTTAAGCATTCTATCCAAGCAATTTCCCATGAAACACCTACAGAATCAGAACCTGCACTTTTACCAGGATCCCCAAGTGACTCATCTGCATACTAAGATTGAAAAAGCATTGACAAAACTGGAGCAAAGAAAGAAAGGCACCCAGGAAGACAAAAGCAGCAGACAAAAGCAGTGTCTCAGAAGAACTGGGCCCTGAATGCCACCCTCAATGCAGAGAACCACGGACCTCCCAGCAAAGACTCAGAGCCCCCAAAGACGGATAGACTCCCTCTCCCCCTTCTCTACAACCACTCTGCAAGGTTTAAAGACACGGTCTCAGCCTTCCCATACCCCTTTGAGCTCCAGCTCTGTAAAGCTCCACACAGTTTGAGAAACTCTCCAAGTTTAACACAAGACACCTCAACATTAACCCTGCGGGAAATTAGGGAAATCTCCTATATATATATATATTTATTATTATTATTAATTACAAAGGGGATATATGTATAGATATATGACATATATGTATATATGTATGTCATATATATCTATACATATCTATATATATATATGACTGTATCTCAGAAATGCCAATCCAAAGGACATAAAGCTAACAGAAACACTGAGGGAGCAACGCCTTCCTGAAGGAGGTCGCAGTGACCTTGGAAAGATCATCGAGGAGCAGAGTCGGGCTGAATGGTCTGAGGGGCCCCCTGCGTGGGCCGCCTGCTTCCCGACTCAGCAGCTCCTGCTCAGTCGGCTCCAGTCACTTTGTGTGTTTATGACATTCACATTGTTCCTGGCACATAGCAGGGGCGCAGTAAGTGCTCTGAAGCAACAGAAAAAAAATCTGATCAGCATTATCTTCTCCATCTTTGATTTATCCAAAACAAATTTACTCTAATTCCATCTCTTGGTTTTTAGAAATTCCAGTGAATAAAAGCATAACTCCACATCTCCAATTAGTATAGCATATAAAGTCTTCCATTCCATATCTCAAAATTGGATTTTATATTTTCTGTTTTATATCCCTTTCTAATACTCCACGACTCTATAAAACACATCAAGCTGTCAATAAGAAATGACCATGTCCGTGAAAGATTAGGCAGTCATACTAACTGCTGACCAGCAATCCAATCCACTACTTTTAAAAGCCACTAACAAATAGAAGGAAAATGCCACACAGAAAAGATCAGGCATCATTTTGATGCTCTTCTAGGTGCAGATTTAAGACATTTTAGGGAAGTACCTATTAAAACAGCCACAGAACTGAACTACATTCTAAGGACAGTATCACACACACACACACACACACATCATGAGCAAGACCTACAACATAAGACTAAAGATGTTGGAAACACAGCAAATGATAAAATGAAGATATCAGTAAAAGAATATAAATGCTCCAAAACTCATTTCTGTAAGGAATATATTCCCTGTTGCTTCTCAAAGAGGGACTGTGCTTAAGTGTCAAAGGAAAAGATTTAGGCTGGAAATCGCAACTTCCCATTTCATGAATAAATCCTATGAGCAGAATAAGGAAACACACATAAGGAACGATTGTGTGCATTCCTTTCCAAATATCTATCAAATCCCTTTTATTCTATGTATTTAGTACAGCCACATTTTTTTTAAAGGACTCACAGGATATTAGCTATTTTGGCACTTTTCTTTACACTGTGCTATATGTGTTTAAGAACTGACTCCACAAGCTCACAGAAGGAGAAAACTTAGAGACGCGTGTTTCTTCCACAGCTGACAGCAAGACAGAACACACATGATTAGTCTTCAATAAATACTTAATGAATTTAATTATTACCACCCTTCCAGTCAAAAAAAAATCTTAATTAGAGAATAACCCTGTTACTACTGCCACTACCGCCAGTAGAAAGCAGCTCTGAAAATTTCCAAGTGGACCCACTTGCATGGCAAACAATGGGAGCAACTAGAATGAAGAACTGCTTTATTCATTACAAAGGGGCTAATAAGGAATTGCTGCTTCCAAACTCAATCCACTCCAACTAGCACTGTGTGTGTGTGTCCAATAAAGTGCAACGCACTAGCATCTTCTCACACATCAGATGCTTGATCTAAATTTTTGATGAAATGTCTTCTATGTCTCTTAAACTTCAGTGTATGTGTTTTCATTCATTCCTATGTGAATCCGGTCTCCTATGTGAAAATTAAGAGCGATAATATTAAAAACGACTTCAATTTCTGAATATCTTACTCCAAGAGCTAATTTGTTCACATATGAACAGACACATTTCAATGATGACTCTTTTAAAATCCAATAAACCTACTCCTGTGCAGGTACGTTTTGTGCAGCACAGGACCCAAATGCAAGGCTGGTGTCCCATCCGACTGAGGGGGCATTGTTCTAACTTGATACATTTTCATAAGCTCCGATCCCCCTATTAAAAACTAAGTCACTGGGTTTAACATACTCCTTGAAGAGTGCATTTCAATTATCCTTGCCTTGTTCTATGTGAAGCAATTTAATCTTATGGCTTTCTTCCTAAAGAGTACAGAGATGATGTTCAAAGAAAACATGAATGGTGAAATGTAGGAACTCACGGATAGACTTAAGGGAGAGGCACCTTGGAAGACAGTGCCTAGAGGTTGTGGAGAGTGGGAAGATGACAAGGGAAAACAGAGAGAAAAACAAAGGCCAGTAGCAAAGAACTGCAAAGAAACTTAGCTCACTTTCAAACTAATTCACATCTCATGTTTCCCGTTAAACCCTGACTCGAAATGTCCCATTCTGATCCACAATTTCTGTCTGACACTAATAAAATGAGAGTTTTCCTGCTAACATCTGCAAATAATTTCACAGATTATTACTTCATCTCAACATAGTATTTCACCATTAAAGAAACGTCAGATTCCCTTTTGGCTGTTTCCATGTAGTCTTACAAGTCTTACATAGAAACTCATCAGATGAAGATAATGACAGAGAGTGGTTTTTAGATTTTGAGAAGGTTTAAAAAGGTATGATATCAAATTCCAAATCTATATACACACACTGTGTAAGCCAGAAGCCCCTAGAAAGTGGTGTCAAGCTACACATGTGCCATTGTAGCCCTCTGGATTCCCCCGGGGCTGAGCCGCTGCACAAGTGCACTTGGCGAAGACTCCCCAGGGATGCAGATACTTCACCAACCACCCGCGGCCCTGCTGCCATCACCCCCAGCTCATGTGCCACCACCGCGCCGATGGGCTTTGTACTGTTCTACACCAAATGTTCACTTGGTGAAGTCACTAGAATAGGGCGTCTGAATTCAACTGGCTCTCATCCCATTTTTGAGAAGTAAAAATAAATCCACAATTGGCAAATCAATATTTACCTCCTTTCACAAAATTTCACTATAAAGCTACATAACAAATTCTGAACTCAAAGCTGTTTGCATAGTTTTTCAATCCAAGTATTTAAGTCAGCTAATATATTTCCATAAATCAAATGTCCAATACCAAGTAGCAGTACAAAAAATAAAATTCAGCTCCAACAGCATTCCTCACAATCCACTTACACTTAGTAAGGAATAAATCAGATTTCTGAAGCAAGTTCATAGGGAATGTTATTTCAAAGTTACTTTAACTCTTCCACTGTTCATTATTCCTCATAACCTATAGTGTATATAGACTTAGAAAATATAATTATTTATAGGTAACTTTAGATACACTTGTGAAAGTGGTTGTATTACAAACTAACACTCCTGGTTTTCAGCCTGTACAGTACCAATGCTCCAAGCCACTGGAATGCTTTTCAAAAATCCCCAAACTTCCTCAACTTAAACAGTGCTCACTATTGGTGGATACCGCTCTAACTCAATGTAATCAAAGTGACTGATACCTCTCAAACACCAAGCTTTTAAAATCACCTGACAACAGGTGCATCTCAACAATCTTGAATGCCAACAAAAACTTCTAACACTTTTCAAATCTATTCTGCATCCAGTTAGGCCTAAAAACAAATGCAAAGGACATACTCACCTTAATCGGAGCACTGCTGAACTTGATCTTCCTGTTTGCTGGGATTTCTTCCTCTTCAGGCAGTCCAAGGATTTCCGAGTAGTCCATGTCTGGCTGATAGTCATTATTCTCGTCACTGTCATCCTCCTCATCCTGCTCGGTACCTGTCTCTCCCCAGTCTGAGTTACACCTGGATCTCACCCTATACACGTTATAGTCACTGTGCATGTACACGTGGGAACTCTCGAAATCGTCTGCATCTTCAGGTACTTCTTTTCCACAGGTGTCTGCAGAAGCAACAGGAGAGGTGAAATCACCACCCGCAGGGTCTTTTCTCAGTTGCTCGGCTGCCTCGCCCTCGACCACATTTTCTTCGGCATCTGCTGAGGGTTGGTGTGGCGGGGAAAGGATTTCAGACCTCGGCATTGCCCGATTTTCAGCACAAGGTCCTTCAGGAGTGTCTGCGTCGACTCTGCTGGGAGCCTCTAGGTTAGATGAGGAGTCCCCGGCTTCCTTGCTCTGCTGGTTCTCTTCAGTAGGAGCCGGAGCCACAGAGGTACTTCTAGAAGCCACTTCTAGCACTGGGGTTGAGTCACTCTTCGGAGCATCCTCTGCATCAACACCTTGTTTGTTTGAAGGAGCCCACGAATTAGAATCCTTCAGGCGGCCGAAGGTATCGAGATTTGTCACAGTGACGGTTGGCAGATTCAGGGGGTAGTGCCCAGTCACTGAGTACTCGCTGTTTTCAGCCTTCTCAGAACTGACAGTCCCAGGGGAATCAGTGTTCTCAAATACAGCACTCAGTTGACTCACGGTTGGAGAGACAGCCTCGGTCCGTGAGCTGAGGCTGTCCAATGAGTCAGTGCTGCCTCGGTTGGACTTGGAGCCTCCCCACTCGTCCTGCGGCTCCCCCCCTCCAGCCTTCTCCTTCTTTGGGGAATAGCGGTTGTTGGGTCCTGACTCGTGCACGCTTCTCTCAAACATCTTCCGAGTCTCCGTGAACTTGGAGTAAGAAGGACCATCGTACAGGGTGTCGAATCGACTGATGCGTTCGGAAACAGAGGACTCCAACCTAACCACCGAGCCATCTGTCTTCTCCAGAAATTCTTTGGGCTTCATTCTCCTCTGAGGGGATGAAGGTCTACCTTTCCCCCTGGTTTTGGCAACAACTGCAGTATTCTCATTGGGCTCCATACCCATCTGCATAAACAGGTTTTTAATTCTGTTGACATTGGAGCCATATTTCCTCCCCCTGCTCTGCTGAGAACCCTCACCCCCTTCTTTTGCTTTCTGTTCTCCATCTGACTTGGGTTTGTCAAAGGTACTTTTCAGTGCCTGGAACTCAGTTCTATACGCATTCCTGTGTGGAGAGGCACTTCTGAGAGTGGTTCGTTCACCTGAAGACTCAGCTTTCAACATTTTTACTTCAGGGGTCAAAAGCCAATGTTCATAATGATCAGGATAAAACAAAACACAAAATACCTCTTTTCTCTAGTACCAATATCTGGTCAAGCCAAGTACCTCTCAAAAAGCATACTCTGTTGTGATCGTCCCAACAGGTATATCAGGGGGCCATTCACAGTCAAGCCTTAACACAAAATGGCTTTTTCAAAGCAACACGTTGAAGTTCATCTGGAACAGAAGAAATGAATTTCCGAACTCACTGACTTATTTGAATTTATGTTACTGATACATACTTTATTTTCCATGTGGTTTAGCCACCCATCAAACAGAAATCATTGCTTATTGAAAAAGGTAGCTAAAAGTCAAGAAGCTCAAAGTTATTCTAATTGGTCTTTGGTAACAAAAATATCTCAATCAGAATTTGGAGATCCCTATCAACCACTCAGTTTCTCTCTCTCTCTCTCTCTCTTTCTCTCTCTCTCCCCTGTCATACACACACAGTTACACATAAGTACATCTGAAAACAATACATTAGCCTGAGAATTGGTTGCTTTTGTAAACGACCTTAAAGACCTTAAAAGGAAACAACAGTTCATAGACCTTCAAGACTCATCATCTAACTGTCCAGAATTATCATCCAGGATTCCCCACACCGAGGCAAACAAGTGAAAGTGATGAAGTTTAGAAACTTAAAAACATGCCCATAGAGGCTTCTCTTCACTCTTGAGGGTATCACTCTTCTATCGCATCCCCAAAGCAATTTCCAACCAAAACAAGCAGGAAAAAAAAGTTCTTCCAGTTCAGTTCTATCAAGCATGGGGAAGTATCCTAACAGTGGCTACTGTTAATTAGGAAGTGGGATGTGGACTATCATGCGAATAAATGCGTGAGCTTGTGGCAATCAGGACACCATGCCACCTCTCTCCAAAGCCCTGATTCGTGTATGCCTCCTGGCCTCCAGCTTACTGCAAGCTGAGACGGCGAGGCAATGCCTGCTGCTGGCCTGCTCTAGCCCACAGCTGGATTCCCAATCGATACACCAGCAATCCAGCACTTGCCGGATCCACTGAGCAGCAGACAATGCGGTGCTAAAGGTTTCCTGTCTTGTTTAGGTTTTGGTTTGGTTTTGCTCTGACTCCCCAAGCCCTGGCACCCTCGCCCACAATCACTTTCGCTTAAATCGCCTCCAGACTGGGCTCCTGGCCCAGCGCGCATGCAGGCCCATGCAAACAAGGACTGCTACAGAGTGTGTTGCCTGTTTCGTTTCGTTTTTTTCCTTGTTTTTTTTTTTTTTTTTTTCTAAACCATCGACAATCTCCTTTTACCCTGACATTTTTTTTAAAGCCATCCACACCCGCCCCTCGCCCCTCCACACACACACACACACACACACACACACACCCGCCCCACTCCCTCCCCCGCCAGCTCAGCCCGAGGGGGCGGAGGCGGAGGGGCCGCCGGGGAGGGTTCAAATCCTGCCCTCACAAAAGACAAACATAAATAACACCAACTTGAGAGGCGGCCGGTTCCCAAGCCTGCTTCGGGACGCAGTCCCTCGGCCCCGGGGCCGGGCCGTGCGAGCAGGTGACGCCAGGCGCTACGGTAGGAGGTCGCAGTCTAGCTTTGTGCCAAGAAGCACCTTAAGTCCTGACACCTTGGCTGCGGCTCCCGGCGGCTGCCAAGCGGAGCCCAGGGTGGCACGGGGAGAGACGAGCTCCCTAGCCACAGTAAAAAAATAAATAAATAAAATAAAATAAAATAAAAAGCAAGAAAAAAATGACAGGGTAATGAACATAAATCCCTCCCCTCGTGCCAGGAAACAATAGATCCCACTGATAAAGCCTCCGATCCTCAACCTGGCGCTCCCAGACCACGAGCCGCCCCCACCCCAGCCTGCAACTCAGCCTTTGTACCAGCTGGCTGCGCGCCTCTCCATCGCCACCCTCCCCGGCTCCTCGCGCCGCGCTCAGCCTCCCCCTTACCCGAGCGGGAGCGCCGCGGGCGGGGAGGGTCGCGCCGCCGCGGCTCCCACCCCCTCCTCGCAGGCGCCCCCCGCCCCACGGTGGCCGCGGCTCGGCGCCGGCCCGCTGGCCGCCCCGCCACCCGCTCCTCACGGCGCGGCGCGCACGGCGGCTGCGGCGGCCGCGGCCACTCGCGCCTCGGCCCCCACGCGCGCTCTGCCCGCGCCGGGCGGTCCCAGGAGGCGCGCCGCGCTCCCCAACGCCATGGCGGGCGGCGGCCGGGCGGGCAGCGCCGCGCTCGCACCCTCGGGCCGGCCCGGGGCGGGGGGCGCCGGCCGGGGAAGGGGCTGGGCGCACGTGCGGTCGCCGGGCGCGGGCCGTTGGACCGAGGCGGGAGGCCGCGGTGTGAGGGAGGAGAGGCCGGGGGGTGGGGGGTGAGGAAGGCCCGGGGTAACAGGTGCCTCACCTCGGCTAGATGGGATTAACTCTAGGGCCGCAGAGAGAGGGAGCCCAGCAGCAAAATCCCAGGAGAGGGAGCGAGAGCGAGAGGGAGCCTCTGGCGGCCAACGGAGGGCGAAAAGCACCGGCCCGAGGCGAGGCCGCCCCACCCCCTCGGCCGTGGGCGAGGGGCCTCTCGGGCCTGGGACCCGGCCTGCCCTGTGGGGGCCCGGCTGCCTTCCTGCTGGGCTGCTGGACCGGGCACTGGGTCCTGGGGCTGCTCGCTCTCGAGCCCCACGGAGGCCGCAGTTAACCCCGTGACCCCCAGGCATCCACAGCCCGGGCCATGCCCCTGGCCTGGAGGGCCAAGACTAGGCCCAGGTTGGCCGTGGCCTCCAGCGCCTGGGGCCTGCTACCCACCTTGACCTCAAGGTCTCCCGGCTAAAAGCAAAGGGCTGGGGCAGCTCTTGTGAGTTGCTCCTCTGGGGAGGGCTGCTCAGCCCCCCTGCCCGCCCTCGCCCTTTTATAAGTGCTCAGAACTCCCTCTCCCCCGCCCCCGAATACCGGAAGTGCCACAGCCTTCCTGCAAAACACAACTGATCACAACTGTCCATATAGACCTTCCAACTGCTCCGGAGCAGCCTGCGGCGCAAACCCGGTCATTTTTGGAGAAGAGCATGACCCTGAGAGAAAGACACTCCCCAGAAGAACATGGGTCAGAAATTTTTATTTGACTCATTAGGGCAAGGAACCAGCAAGATCTTGCACCCTACTCAGATGAAACGTGAAGAATGATGTCAGGAAAAATGACAAAAACTGCTGCATGTTCTGCAGGGCACAGAGTCGTGATGTTGGGATAACAGGCGCCCTCCCCTCACCCAACGGGGATGTACTCCAGGGTCCCCACTGGGTGCTGAAACCCCGGAAAGTGCCAGTCCTGCATGTTTTCTCCTCTGCATACGTACCTATAATGAAGTTGAACCTCTAGATTAGGCATAATAAGAGATGAGCAAGAATAATAAAGTGGAACGACTGTTAAAGTTATTTAAATTAGTGTTGGGGGAATTTAGTATTTACAGGTCAGGGTAGACCAAAGGCAACTGAAACCAAGGTCCCTGGGAATAGCAGGTAAGGGGTGGGGGGCCCATCTGCTCTCCAGGGCAGTAACTGGCTGTCTCTTTAGTGCAGAAAAGTAGTTTGCTTCTCTGTGGGTAAGAATACTTTACATAACACTAAGTCTACAGTTTACAGAGTGGTGTAAAGCCTAGTGAAAGGCAGTTAAAGGTGGAGACCTTTGTAGAATCCCAAAACTCCAGAGCCTGAAGATATATTCCAGCATTCCCGCACAAAGGACAACATAGTCCTCTTTTGCCCATTGCAAAGGCTTCCACAAGTTTTCCCCAGGGAACATCATTATCCACATTTTACAGATGGGAAAACTGAGGTTGAACTTTCCTAACATCTCCGCCTTTAATTAGGGAGCAGATGACTAAGACATGGTAGGAACCCAGGCAGGATGCAATGCTGAATCTTTGTACTCCAGGAGCAAAGCCTTTCCCTGGATTTCAGAAAGACTTGGTAGCTCATCAATACTACATCTTTTATTTTGAAGAGTGAGGTTTCTTTTTTCTTCAGGCTCCCCAAATTCCATCTTTTCCCAAGACAGGCATCCTCTGTCTATGAAGTGGATGTCACTTCTATAAGCATAAACAGATGTAGCAGGCAGTGTGAGGGGGCCGTGGATCCAGTCTCCACTTTTGGAAAGAACATTTGTGCTGTCTGGATAATCTAGTGGAAAAGTTCCTGTCATTTATTTGCAGTATGGAAACCAGGTTTTTTTAGGGGAACAACCTAAATAAATGCAGGATCTAATCAGCAAGTTCTGTCTGTAGAAGAGGGGGCAGAATTGGCAATAAAGTCAGTCTTACACCTCTTTGCAAAAAGATGATTCATACAGAAAAGCAGCCTGAAGAGTTTGGTTGATTTGGATTTTGTTCTTTGAAAATGTGAAACTTCTGGGAAAATTCATGCTGAAGGAATGAGAGAGTTTTTAAAACATCATGGTGATCATTTAAGATTCCTGGGTTGCCCATAATGGATCTCCAGCTTCTAACAGGGTCTGCTAGAGCTGAGCTAATCCAATACATGTAGCTGTTTAAGTTAACTACAGTTAAATATGTTGTAAATTCAGGGGAAGGCCCTTGGCCCAGAGATTAAGGTGCATTTGGGACATCCACATATCAGAGCGCAGGGTTCGAGTCCTAGCTTTCCTTCCGATCCAGTTTCCTGCTAATGCAGACCCTAAGAAGACAGCAGATGACTCAAGTATTTGGGTCCCTGACATTCACGTGGGAGACCTGGGTTGAGTTCCCATCTCCTGGCTTTGGCCTGGACCTGCTCTGGCTATTGTGGGCATTTGGCTGCGGGGATGGGGCGGTTAACAAACCAGCAAATTGAATGCCTCTCTCTCTCTCTAACAAAATAAAAATTAAACATTTTTAATTCAGTTCCTCAGTCACACTAGCCACAGATGAAGGGCTGGGTATCTGCATGTGGCTAGTGGCAACCCTACTGGACAGTGTAGATACAGACCCCTTCCATCACAGGCATTTCTATTGGACAGTGCTGTTTAGAGAATATTTCCACTTCTATAAGATCTGAGACATATATTGACTTTGTAAGGATGTCTTAGTTCAACAGACCCGTATTAGTGCAGGTGTTAGACCCTATAGCTCTTACATATTTCAACTGGAAAGGACTATGAAAGGTGAGCTTCAGTATTGATATGCAAAGAATCCAAAAGGTGTATAGGGTAGAGATTTTTCAGTTTTCATCTCTAACTTCTCAGCCTTTTATAAATCATGTGGGGTATTATGGAATATTATTTTCATTCCCTTTGTAACCAATAAGATCATAATTAATAAGAACAAACTGCAAGATTATCAGTTAAACAAAAAGTATAAAATACATTCTACATTGTTTTAGAGGTTTGCTCAATATATATATATTTTTTAATATCCATAATGGATAGTCTGAGTAACTATTCAAAGAAATCATTCATGTGTTTAATGAGACCTTGGGTTTAGCTCTGAAATTAGCCTAGTGAGCCGTGGCGCCGGCCCAAATTTTTATCTTTTTTGAAAGTTTTTATTTACGTACTAAACTTTTTTGAAAGGAAGAGAGCCAGACAGACAGAAATCTCCCATCCTCTCCTCAAATGCTCGCAACAGCTGGGTCTGGGCCAGGCTGAAGCCAGGAGCGTGAAACTCAATTGAGGTCTCTCACGTGGGTGGTGGGGACCCAAGAACTTGAGCTGTTGTTGCTTCACAGGTTATGTGTTAGCAAGAAGCTAGAATCAGGAGTAGAGCCAAGCCTCAAACCCAGTGCAGGCTTCCCCAGTGGCTTCTTAACCACTCGGCCAAATTCCTGCCCTGAAGAGCAGCACAGGATGGCTCAGGTACCCAGATCTGTGCTACCCACAGGGGAGACCTGGACTGAGTTCCAGGCTCCTGGTTTCAGCCCAGCCTGGCCTCCACTGTTGCAGGCATTTGGGGAGTGAAGCAGCAGGTAGAAAATTTTTCTCTCTGTATGTCTGTGTCTGTGTCTATCTGTGCGTCTCTGCCTTTTGAATAAAAAAAAAATTAGTAATTTAAAAAAAGAGGGAGAGACTAAAGCAAACTGTGCAGGGGCTGAAAATTGCCCATCACACCTTGACTTACAGCAGAAGGGCTCCTGGCTCGTGGTGTGTTCACAGAAGTTCATGGAGGGAGACAAAAGAACAGAACAAAGTGAAAGGTCTCCAGACTTAGCTTCTGCATGGAGCAGGCAAAGCAAGGTGAAAGTAATGCCTGCAGGTAATTTACATATAATTTGAACATAAGAGGATGGTTCACCATTGCAGAATCGCCTTACCAGTGGTAATGAGTAAAACTTGTTGATAGAGCTGAGGCAGCCCATTGCCAAGTGTGGCTACAGCTGCTTATCTCACATTTGCAAATGTCTTACAAAAGCTTGGTTGAGTTCAGCCTTTAATGTTGATGTCAGTTTTCTTAAAGGTCCACCTTTTAAAATAGCCATTCTTATTTATTTTAAAAAGATATATTTATTTATTTATTTGAGAGGCAGAGTTATAGACAGAGAGCAGGAGAGACAGAGAGAGAGAGGTCTTCCATCCGCTGGTTCATTACCCAGATGGCCTCAACAGGCAGAGCTGGGCAGATCCTAAGCCAGGAACCAAGAACTTGTTCTGGGTCTCCAATGTGGGTGTAGGAGCCTAAGCACTTGGACCATCTAACACTGCTTTCCCAGGCCATCAGCAGGGAGGCTGGATCAGAAGTGGAGCAGCCGGGACTCAAACCAGTGCCCATATGGGATGCTGGTGCTGCAGGCAGAGGCTTAACCTACTATGCCACAGCGCCAACTCCGTAAAATAGCCATTCTTATTTAAGGGTAAAAGTTTTGGTTTACATCTTTTTTTCCTATGGTATTTCAGACACTTCCTTGTAGAGTAAAATCTATGTCTCCAATAGTCATGGAGTTCTCAGGCAAACACTGATAATATCATGTCAGGGTATCTAATGATCAGTCTTGTTTTTGTGATATGAGCTAAGAAGTTGGAAACTAAACATGTGCTTTGTGTCTAAATAAATTTATAATGATTTGGCATGGCTTTCTGTCAATAGCTTCACTTGTCCGTATTAGTCAAAGTGTATTATCATCATCCTGGTCCATCCAGTATCCAGTACCTTGGATTCTCACCCTGAAGGATGTCTCATGGGAAGTCTGAGGATTTACAGTTATTTGCTATGAGAAATAAAAGGTAGAACTCATGGAGATTTTTTTTCAGATTATTTCAAAGTTACTATTAATATCTTACATCTGCAAATAAGCCATAGTGGATCTACAAGTATATTTTTGGCTAACATGATGCATTATTATCTTTCTTCCCTACTATCACATTATTTACCTACCCACACAAAACCAAAAATATAGACTTTTGTTGGGCTAGACCAGTATGATGTTTTCATTATTGTCAGTGTTTCTAAGGTTGAAACAACAGCTGCTGTCCCATTCCTTTTAATTTTCACATTTAAAGACAAGTGGAAGGTATTTCTTTCTACAGAAGTGCACTGTTGCTTGGAGCAGATCAGCCCATCTGGCAGGAGTGTGTCTGACAGTGGTAATCTACTCTGCAACAGCGGTGGTCTGCCTCTTCCATCTATAGGTTTTGCCTGAACTCTGGCTCCTTGAGAGTGGCATGTTGTCAATCCTATTTCAGAATAATTTGTTATTTCAAGATTGAAACAAATGGGAGAGACACAGTGATCCTTCACAGAAAGAACAGTTAGTAATGTGTCAAACTGAAGACATTTTACTGTAAGTCATAATCATCCCC